AACCTGAAACTATACCCCTTTCCCCTCAAAAATGATGGAACGTAAGGCCCTATAGATTATTCAAGGAAATGCAAGTTTTCAGATATAAATGATGTATGTATACTGAACAGACAGCAACTATAGTCTACACTCACTTTCCATTGCCCTACAGTCTTGAGATCAATGTAATCCCAGATTTTGAAAAATTACAGTCACCTGGAAGAATCAGTGACAATTTCACAGTAAATTCACATATTTTAATGAAAATGAATCATTTTAGGATTTCTACTTTCTTAAGAGTACAAATCTTAAGATACATCTAAATTACCAAGCACCTGTCCTATCAGTGGCTCAGTTACAAATAAGAGAAACCCATTGAGTTAAAGGAAAATTTACACTCTAGAATGTGAGGCAACCACATAAGTTACCGAATTACCCTAATATTTCTGAATACCTGGCCAACTAGAGGCAATGTCTAAATCCACCTGGCTTGGCAAAATTACATTCTTCCTACATAAAATTTTTGAATTGAAGCTGACAGCTATCTCTGAGGTGTAAACCTAGAATCAGCATTGAAATATGCCCTAACTGAATGCATCATAATTATACCAACCTGAAGAAATGATCAAAATTGGTCAGTGACAAGCAATAAGCCTCTAACTATGCATTTTTAAATAAAAAGGGCTGGATTACTTTTGTACTGCTGCTAAAAAAGTAATCCTGTTTTTTTAATAGCCAAGGCTACATATTACAAGGTCACCAATAATTATCTGATGGAGTAGATGGTTTAGAAAGTAACCCTAAGGTAGGGAGGAAGATGATCCAAAAGAAAATGATCAAAGCTAATACTGGGCAAAAGTCACATGTAGTATGAGTCAAGAAGCCCTCAATCTTGGCCCCAAGATTGGCCAACTGCCCACACTTGCTTTGTCCTGGAAATCTCTAACATATATCTCAAAGCCCAAGTGAAAGTTTTTACATGACATGCCTACAGACTGATTACAAAAAAAGAAGACTTCCTCTGAAGAAAAGGTATGCCATAGGGTGCTACACCACTTACCTCCTTTCTTTACTATATTGACTAGCATAAAGACTTTTTCAGTGTGGAATCATGGCTCTCTGAATGGCAAAACAAATGAAAAACATCTTTTTCATAGTAGGTACTATGGATCTATCAGGAAATAAGTCATAAACTATACAGCATAATGTTCTATCCCTTTAAGAATATTTGTTAATCATCCTGAATGACAATATAAAGAATATTATGTAGACTGCTGCACTCTTAAACAGATTTTCCCAAACATGACTTAAGTTAATTGATGAACATTCATTACTATGCTTTCAGGTCTGGTCCTGCACTGAATGGTCCCAGACATGCTAGTCAGGCTTTCAATATTTGTTTTTGTGTCTTGTTGATTATCTCTATTATCCTCACCAGGCTGTTATCTGTTTTTTCTTACAATAGACAGTAGGCTAACAGTTCCCCATCTTCCTACCCACCCCACAAGTACACACCCCTTAATCTCCCACACTAGCCATTATCTATGTGTTTCTAATCTACTGTGGGCTTAGAAGCCAGAAACTCTGCTTGTCAGAAACATTTTAAATAAATGCCAATAGGTTCTCACTAAGGGTCTCCAAGGCTTTCCTATGCTTTAAGGTGTAGACTTGGACAATTTGGCTACCCCAAGCCTTTGTGGCTTAGTGCCTGCTTTTCAAGGATATTAGTGGATTAAAAAAAGCCCAAATAACTGAAACCCACGACTAGAAGAGGAGATCATTTGGGAAGACCCTCATGTCTGAGGCAATATTCTAGCTATTTTAATCGTGATCATTTAATCCTTACAATAATCTTATAAGGTAAGAGTTATTACTTCCATTTTCAGCCAGAAAAATCAAGGCTCAAGGGTTAAGAAGTAATTTGCCCAATATTGTAAATGAGAAACCAAACATTAGCCTAGGGCTCTACTTCAAAACCCAAGGCCTTTCCACTACATGAGATTACTGCCCAAACCAGATTCTCAGTTTAACCAATTATTTTTATACTTTATTCTTGATCCTTTGACTTGAACCTGACTTTCCTTGTTTCTATAACTGCAAGTCAGTGGGTAATCAAATTAAGGACAAATGGCATGTACCTCTGCAAGTATACGAGTTTGGCAGCAAACACATTTCTGAAACACTGGCCATTATCTTCAGTTTGTACAGGCCATACAAAATTGGTGCCAAGTCCCCCCACAAAATATACTTATAATATACTGATTGTTCCCAGTGAACTATAAGTTAACACTTCACATCTTCCCTAGTGCTATCCTCTACATTTTACAGGAAGCAATGTAAGCATACTTTAGGAACTGGTTCAGTAATGAATTTATTGCATGCTCCCTCAATTTGTACATTAACAATTTTCTTACTCTATGTAAACACTGGGGAATGAGGAGTTTCCATTTTTCCAATTCCATTAATGAACAGGGGTGTACTTGTTTACTGTTAGATACTTTATTGCCTAGTTCACAGCCTGACACACAGAAAAAGCTGTTTTTGAATAAATGCCACTTGTTCATTAAACACAAGTTATTTGTTAAATATATGCATAACCTTTCCTGGACTAGTTTTGAACTCTTTACATTTCACATTTTCTGACATACCTTTGCAATACTTACAAAAACTAGGGGCCTAAAAATGGCTCTTCTACTTCCATGAAAAAATAAGACATCTAAAAGACATGCCCCTCTATACCCTCTAAAAATGACTCTTGTCCCAAGAATATGAATAAATCTCCATCTGCCAGACTGCACTAAATACAGCTTTTACATGCATTACAAAAACACCTGTATAAAAAAGCTGCTACCTACAACACAAAACCAAAAGAATGAAAACCAAACAATAAGGAAAGCTGTCATACCTAAAGTCAAAACCGACAACATTTACAAATTGTAAAAATTCAATAAGGTCTTTGACCAGCAGTTTATGCAGCTAAACTGAGGTTTTTTCCACTCATATTTTCCCTCAAATGTGAAGTAAGATTTATGGCAATACGATTCTAATATTTACAATTTGAAAATGAAAAGACCTCTTGCCATCTTGAAATAGAAACAACCTATGTTCTTATTAAAGAGAACTTTTTGTGAAATACACAAAATTATCCCCAATATTCCTACGTAAGAGTTAAAACACTTACCAAACCTGACAAGCCACAAACAGGAAATCACCCTGCACCATTTCTTACAGGACTATTATTTCATGAACTTTACAGATTGTGGAAAGGACTGACCACTCATGACTAGGTACAGGTAGGTTACAACCTTGAAAAACCAAACTTTTCTTGAACACCTATAATTCAAAATCACTTTAGAAGGTGTAGCTATCAAGTATAAAAACCAAGCTCTCAGAGCTATTTCTTCCTTAAAAGCCCAGAAATGAATGTTTCCAATCACATTACATTAATTAAACCTAGCCAATGAACTTCCTTAAACTCAATTAAATCCGGTAGATTTTAACATTTAGAGTACAAGTGGGCACTTTCTTTAGAAATGCCCAAAGACAAGAACTATTTATATTTACTATCACAGCTAAGTTTATAAAAGGCAAAGACTAAGGAACTTTTACAATATAAAAGCAGTGTTACTTTTTGAATTTAATATAAACGCCTGCTAAATGACCTTTTTTTTGGTGGAGAAAATTCTTTAAATATATTCTACGGGGTTTTTTAAGGCAAACAATAAAACCCTTAAACCATGATATATTTATAAAGTCCATTTTACATTATTTCTCCCATCTCTGCTGCATTTGCTTCACTAATTCATGTATTAAAACTATCCAAACTTCATTTAACTACATGATTTACACACTTCTCTGTAAGAGGAAAACTTTTTTAAAGGGAGGCAAAATAGAGCAGCAAATATATTTTCAGAATAATAGCAAATTTATCTCTTGTTAGGCTCAAAGAAAACATCCTATCACTAATACAGGCTCAATTCATATGAAATCAGAGAGAGAAAATGAAGATATTTTGGAAATTAATTCACATTTCAGGGGCCATTTCTGAAAAGATGAAATTACCCCAAGTAAGTTTGACTAGTAGTTTAGACATTTACTTATTATTATTTTACATAAGTAGCTTTAAAACTTTAATATGCCAACATTCAGGATAGTGCAAAACTACAGCAACAAACAGGATATGACTTTGATGAAAAATACTGCTGGCAAATTCGTTTTACCTGGAGACTTTTTTCTTAAAGGTTTGACTGACAACAAACTGGTAGTAGTTTTTAAAGGGTGAAGAGGAAGGAATAACAAAACTAACCTGGGTGTTGTTTTTCTTTTGTTTAGGATCAAAAGAAAACCATAACCACGTAAGGAAAGTTAAGTGAAAGACAGAAGCACCTGACCCAAAGACAGTAATTCCCCACAGGACAACAAAAAATTAAAGTTGCAATTCTTAAAACCAAGTCTGAAATACGTGAAAGCAATTAGCATGCTTTCTAAAGGCGTGTGATAAAAGCTAATAGGCTCCACTCACACAGCAACTTTCACAAGTGAGTAGAGGATGATCTCCACAGAGTATCAGCCGTGTGCGCGTTTGGGTGAGAGTACACACAAGCAATTCAAAACCCGAGAGTATTATGGTTAACAAAGGTTATAGGACCAGAAAAAAAAAAAAAAAGTGGAAGCAAAGTATTACCCGCTCCTAACAGGGCTTCCCAACAACTCCTAAAACAAGAGGTCTGGCCCTTCGGCTTTAAAAATCAGAACCACAAACTACCGAGCGCGCTGGCCGCGGAGAAGGAACGCAGGCGGCCCCCGCCCCGGGGCCGGCCGGGCACACAGCTCCGGGACGCCGAGCCCCAGCCCTCCCGGCCCGGCCCGGCCCCCCAATGCCCGGGCCGGCGCGCCCACGGCTCCGAACTCGCCACACCCCACCCCCCACCCCACGGTGGCCATGTGACACGCCAACCACCCGGCCCCTGCCAAACACAAACACACCCCTAGCCCGAGGCCCGCGGGCGCCCAGGCTTTACCTGCACGGAGGGGCCGCGTCCCGCCCCGTCAGCTCCGGGGGTCCGGGACCTTTTGTTCCTTCCTCTTCCGATGGGATGGAGGGGGCTGGGAGGGGAAGAGGGGAATGGGCGATTGGAGGCGGAACTGAAAACACTCCCGGCCGCCGTCTTCCCGCCCCGCCCCGCCCCCTGAGCCGGGCCCGGCCGGCCGGCCGCCCCGGCGCACAGGAGGGTGGGGGCCCGGCCGCCGCCCGCGGGGAAGGAGGGCTGAGGGCGCGCGCCCCGCGCCGCCCCTCCTCCCCTCAGGCGCGCGCCCGCATCCCCTCCCGGCCGCCCGCTCGGCCGCGCCCTCACCGCCGGCCCACCTCCGCTTCCGCCCTCCGCCCTCCGCCGCCGGCCGCCGCGGCGCAGCGCACCCACCTCCCTGCGGCTCGCTCGGCGCTCGCGGGCTGCTGGCTGGCGAGCTGCTTCTCCGCCGCCGCGGCCGCGCGGGTAGACCCGCCTCCCACCCCGGGCCGCGAGCCCCGCCGATTCGCCGGCGTAGCCCCGGGGCTGGCACCCTGCCGCCCGCTGATTGGCGCCCCCAGCCGCCCGTTAGGGCGCGAGGCACGCCGGCCGAGCGCCGCGCGGGGCGCGCACGGAAGACGAAGGGAGCGGAGGAGGAAAGGAAGGAGGCCGAGCGCCGCGAGAAGGGCCGTGGGGCGAGCGGGGCGCGGGGAGTCGCGGGCCACCGCCTCCCCACCTCCCTTTGCCTTCGGCCCGCTCCGCCTCCCAGCCGGACCGGCGGCGTCCGCAGCCAATCAGCGCGCGGGGAGCTCGGGGTGTGAACCGCGCGTCGGGGGCCTCGAATCGGAAGGGAGACGTCGCTCGCTGATTGGTCCCGCCTCCCCCGTCGAGCGTGAGGCGAGGCGGGGCGCGGCCAGGCGGGTTGGGACGCCCGCGGTTTCGCTTGAGTTCGTCTCCGGCGCGCTCCCACAGGGCCCGGGGGAGGGCACAGGAGGCCTGCATCCCTCCACGCTGGAAGGCGACCCCGGCGACCAGTGGGCCCCGGGACCCTCCCGGCTCCTCGCCAGCGCCGTTGGGAGGGGCCTGGGGATCCGCCGCCTCGTCCACTTTCCGTCGTGAAGCTGGGAGTGGACACGTGCTCATCCCCCGGGGAGGCCTCGGGCCCGCCCGCAGGCCGAGAGGTGCCTGGGACAGAGGTTTCTGGAGATGCCCGGGTTGCCGCCCGCCGCTGGGCGCGCCCTATGCAAATCAGCGGGCGAGTGGGCGGGGCCCTCGTGCGGCCGACTGGGGCGAGTCCGAGATGTAAATAGGCCTGGAGCAGGGGCTTTTACGTGCACTTAAGACCAGGGTAGGGGATGCCAGATATTCTTATCTAACCTGCTTCGTGGTACCTTCTTCAGTAAAAATGACATTAATAATGCATGTTCCAAAGGGTCTAAGATAAGTGCTGTCACGATGCCCCTTAATTGCTGAGTTATCTTCCCTTAACTGTTGTGGTGATGTTCCTAGGCCAACTTCAGACATCCGCCTAACAGGGTATGGAAAGGCCCTAAACTTATGGCTGCCCAGCGGATAACCCCTCCCAGGGGTAACCTTGTTGCTTTTACCTTAGAGACACGCAAGCCTCTGCTGACAAAATATTGAACCCAACTAATCACATCAAGTATTCATTAAGTGCCTTCTATGTTAGGGAGCACCGCAGAACTAAAGTTGAAAAGAATCTTCAGTCTCACACAGGTAGTTGGTGGCAGAGACAAGACTAGAAGACAGTTTTCTTGGCTGCCCGTCCGGCACTCATTCTCACGTGCTTGATACTCAAGGTAAGCAAGCGGGAAAGAGAAACTAGCAATACAAAACAGTAATCAGGAAGTACCAAATGAGCGTTTCCAACAGTAAGAGTTTTTGAAGTATACTCCTGTGAGAATTGAAGGCGTCGCAGTTGAGGTGCCTTCAAGTGGACCTTGAGAGATGTTTGGCCATCCCTGAATCATACAGGTTTTCCAGATGTCCTTTCGAAATTTCCAACATTTCCACTATTTCTCTCCTCAAACGTGGAAGTACTTTTTTCATGGAAAGGCTGGGATGAAGAGCATGAACCCTGGAGTCAGGTGTTAGGCAAATTTTAGTTCTGAATGCAGCTCTGTTCCAAATGTGCAATCTTTGGCAAGTGGAACTCACCTCACTTGCTTAAATATAGTTGTGTGATGATTAAATAAAACAATCAATATGAAAGTGAACAGCACAGGGCTTTGAAGTTAAAGGAAAGTCAATGATCATTAACTTTCCTTCTGTTGTGTGCAAACATTTATGCAAAGATGACCCTATTAGGCAGAAAAGTTTACTTCCATGGTGGTTTCCCCATTGTCAGTTAGAGGCAGCTCTACTAACCCCTTTTCAAAAATAGTTTGTGAAGGAGATTCGGGAAGCCAATTGGTGGAGCTGTTCTACCTCCGGTGCCTTCTGTTTCCACTTTCCAGACCCACCAGACTATCGCAAAGCCTGTTCAACTTAGAAGTAGAAAGGCTGTTTCTGGTCCTTCTTCCTGCTAACACAAGTCAACAGTGATATGACTTGTGTCAATATGGAATGGCCTATGGAAAGCTACCCTGGGTCTCATAAATATTTTCTCCTATGTGAACAAGATGTGAATTAGCGTGTACACCTAGGTAGTAGGAGTATACAAAAGCAGGGCTGGCTGGAATTCCAGAAAAATCTGCTCATAGTAGGGGAGTTAGAGACTTTGAGGTTACTCAAAGTGGGTAGTATGCCTGAGGGCTAAGTTAGAACATCTCTCCAAAGTGTCAGACCCTTTTTCCTAAATGGAAGAGTTATAAACCTATAACTCTTAAGGTTATAGTTATAGTTATAAACCTATAACCTATAAACCTATAACTCTTCCATTTAGGAAAGCTTTCCAGGATCTGTAGGATTAAAGAAAGGGGAGGAGGGGCAGTCTGGCTTCCAATGTAACCCCAAGGGGCTTAGAAATGGGAGCATGCCTACCGTCCCCTCTGCTAGAAATGCGTCTAAACCAAAGTGGGTCAAGACAGAAACTGAAGGCACATAGAGCAGGGATTGCCATGGCAACAATCAGCTTGGAAATCCACTAGGGTACCTCGAGATCTATCAGTAGGTCCCTATTGTATAAATTATATTGAGTGAGTCTTATTTTTATATAGATAGAAACCAAGTTTAACCCTTCATTACACATGATACTGTAAAATCAATTAAATTCATTCAGAATCCATTTGAAAGTAGTTAAATGCACTAGAAAGACACATAAAGAAAAATGGTAATAGCGGTTACTTCTGGAAAGAGCCTCAGGGTCTTAAGTAGAAAACTTAAATTTCATCATTATTTCTTCCATAGTTTGATTTTTTTTAAATATACATTTTTCAAAAGACAATTCATATTTTGTCTCCTCTCTGGTAAATCTATAAAGCCCTTCCTGGCTACCCCTGTCTAAAGCTGTATCACTCACCTGTGAATTTTCCCTCTTATATCAGGATGATATACATACCATGACTTCATTTTGATTAATGTCTTGATCCATTAGTTTAGTCTTCAGCAGTTTTTTAACTTCTCATGTGTGTATATTTGTCTCCCCATCTAGACTATAAATTCCCGAAGGACAAGGACAGCTTATCCTAAGTTGTCTTCCCATACCCTTACCAAAATACTAAGTAATTAAAGTAAAGTGAAACATAGCATTTGTATAACAGAAAAGTGACATGTGTGTCACAGGTCTGCAAGCATTCTACACAGCTTTGTCCCATCCTTCCTGTTTGTGGTTGCCCTCAATACAACTGCTACATCTCTTGTCAACATCCAAGCTGTACATTTGCTTATCCTAGTAAGACTAAGTTACAATGGGCATCACTACATCTTAAGAAAAGATCCAGTTATTTGCACCTGAAAGGATACTGATGAAATGAGATAACCTACATAAAAACTGTAGAGGCTAAATGGGTGGGGTTACTTTTATTGTAAATGATAATGATTCTTATATCAATACAATGAAATTTCATGTTTTAAATGAATTTATGTTGAGGATACATACCCATGCCTCTACACACATACACATACACAGTCGTTATTCACATGCTAGTTTTTGCTAAAAAGAAAAAGTATTTAACATTTGATGAGAAATTCTAGAGACAAGAATAAGGAATATGCAAGTAAAAAACATTAATAGGTGTTCATCAGATATCTGTTATGTGTCTACCATAAAAGTATTAGTTGATCATGCTGGAAAATTCTCATTCTTTGCCCAAAGTCACTCAATAAGACATACATCTAGCGTCTTTTATAATTATAGAGAAAGAAATTGAAAGATAAGTTAGCTCTGATTGAAAGAAAAATATATGGCAAAACAAGTTATATTTCTCATCATTCTCCAGGCATCTGATAATTATTATTATATTTCTTGTCTATACATTTAAAGGTATAAATGAACATTAGATTAATGGATCATTGGATAACTAATCCAATGGTTTTTCAAATATTACTTGGAAAATTACAATACAATTCCACTGTAATGAGTGCTCCCATAAAGGCATTTAAACATTATCTGAGATCTACATATTTTGGAAAAAGACTAAACAGGGGCCAATGTCTAGAACTGTGAAAGAACAATATACAAAGTGTTTAAAGTTCTATTGTGAGAGGAGGTTATTCGGTAGTCCTTTGTGAACAATAGGGCCTTATGCCTTGATTATGATTGTCTGTGTGACAATATTGACTGAGTCAGGCTGCTGCTAGGCAGGATAAGTGTATGAAGGTAAAATACTCTTGGAAAATGTCAAGCATATTAGCATAATTGCTCTGATGAAGACTGAAGAGCTTATTTAACATAGCTGACTAGAGTAGACAATAGATGCATAATCAGTGTCCTAATTATTGAATTAATGAGTCCCAATTGTTTGTCCTTACTGTAAACAGTCCTTAGCTATGAAAAAGACATTTTGCTGAAGGAGTCTGACAATTGTGTTAGCTGACAAGTGGCCAGAATGTAATTAATGGTGGGAGAGAGCCAATTACTAACTATTGGGTCCTATAGACTTCGATGGTGGGTTTCAAGGGATATGTTATATAGCTACATAGAGGTTTCATATCAGCTCCTCCTTGGCTTTATATCATTGGGGAGCCTGATTCAATGCTCTTATTTTGCAGTTAAGGAAACTGAGCCCTAGGTTTCCCCAAAGTCCTGTGACCAGTTAGTGCCAGGGATTATACACATACTATCTGCATTTTCTGCTCTGACACTTGCCCACTAACTCTTCCCCCTGTCCCTTGTCTGCACCCACACCCATGCTGCAAAACGACCATCATGAACCTTTGTCACTCTTCATACTCCCAGTTTCCATAACTATGTGGGTGCATAGTCCTCACCAACTATCTAATGGTGAAAATAGAGGCACATTTCCTACCCACGTCTAACCCCCCATGGTAGATGAATGAAACTGTCTCCAGACCCACATCTCAGCCGCTTTCTGTGAAAGACTTTCTCCTCCTTCTGAAGAAATCTTTTTCCTCCACCTGCTCTCTGCTCTTGACCACGCGGTCTAAATTAGCACTGCCACCCCTCCCCCGACATACACACGTCAAACTCTGTCACATCACCTTTTAATGTTTTTTCTTCAAAACTCATCTTTACCTGGAATCATAATGTCAATTTATTTCTATACTGATTTATCATTTGTCACCACTCCCCACTGAATAAGAGCTCTACAAGAGCAGATGTGACCCTTTTGTTCACCACAGTATCCCTAACTTAAGCATGTCTGCTTTGTTTACCATAGTGTCCCTAATTCA